GGACATGGATCTTGAATGGGAGGATTTCGAAGCTCGTGCGGATTGTATTGAGCTCATCATCGATCACTGGCCCAACGACCTCCTGACCATCGTTTCCCGTCAGGTCGCCCTGATCCGGCGGAAACTCGGCATCCCCATTATATTTCACGTTGAAGAGAACCCACGCGGTGAACGGCGGAGATCTTTGGAAGAGAAAAACACAATGGATGCCGAGCTTCTCGAGCTGGGGCTTCGTCTCGGCGTTGACTACATCAGCCTTGATCTTCAACGAGACGATGCCCTTGTCAACCGTGTTTTAAGGCACCGAGGCCGTTCCAAAGTGATTGGCAACTTCTGGTACATGGGCTTTGGTGCGCCTCCATGGCTTGATGACCGCCAGATTGACAACTACCGCAAAGCACAATCCCTCGGCTGCGATGTGATCCGCATGGTGCGGTTCTGTGCCGGCGACAGCGATGCGGAGCTTCTAGAAGAATTCAAGAGGAAGCTTCAACATGCCGTTCCCCAGCCCAGGCCGCCCCTCGTCGCTTACGACTTCTCGGTGCTCGGTGTCCGCACGCCCCTTCAAAGCCGGATTCTCAGCCCCGTAAAGCACCCTGATGTCGAAAATGAGCGAGACCACCTTGCAACGGTCAGCACTGCGACTGGGTCCTTTGAACTTCTTTTCCGCCAGTTCCTTCTTGACCCTCTCCAGTTCTATGTGCTGGGCTCCAATGTTTCGTACTCTTTGTCCCCTGCCATGCAGCACGCGGCGTATGACTTTGCCGGGATGCCGCATACCTTCCAGGCCGTCCCCTGCTCGACCCTTGACGACCTCAACCAAATCTGCATCAGTGATGCCTTTGGCGGCGGCTGCCTCACTGCGCCTTTCAAGGTCGCCATCATGCCACACCTTAAGGTTATGAGCCACCACGCCACCGCCATAGGGGCCGTCAACGTTCTTCTCCCCCTCCGAGGCAAGACCAACGCCATCCTCGACCACGCCAACTCCAGGAACAAGGCTGGCCGTGCTCGCAACTTCTTCGGAGACAACACGGACTGGAGTGCAATCCTGACTTGTCTCCGCCGCGCCATTAGTCCACGCAACTATGTCCAGCCTTCCAAGACGACAGGTCTGGTTATCGGTGCTGGAGGTATGGCGAGGGCAGCCATATATGCTCTGATACAGCTGGGCTGCCGCAATGTCTTTATATATAATCGTACGTTTGAAAACGCGGTTCAAGTCGCCAACCACTTCAACAAATGGGCAGCGGAACAGGGCATCTCCAACAGCGCTCAAGCCAATGGGTCAACATCGGAGGTGTGCCGTGTCCTACCCTCGCTCCTGGACTCCTGGCCGGCGGGCTACCAGCTGCCAACCATGCTTATTTCTTGCGTCCCGGCAACAAGTGTTGATGGGAATCCGCCCGCGGACTTTGAGATGCCGCTCGATTGGCTGAGGAGCCCGACTGGTGGTGTTGTTGTTGAGGTAAGCCCGTTCCTTTCACTGTCATCATCTGTCTGTCAGCGGACTATATCAGATAAGAAGTAGCAGTAGGGAGAACTGCTGACACGGAACAGCTGGCATATGAACCGCTCAACACACCACTTGTAGAGCAGATGCGTGCCTTTAGGGAAAGCGTGTCACCTTCGTGGGTTATTGTCGATGGCCTGGAGGTGGTTGGCGAGATGGCCATTGAGGCTTTCGAGCTGATGACGGGCCGCATGGCGCCAAAGAGGCTGATGAAAGCAGTTGGTCGCAAGACGTGGGAGCAACAACAGCAACAACATGGCTCCGTGCCTGCCTTTTCCAGAGATTTTGCTCGATGAGGTCCGGACTCCTTGGCATACTGGCCGAGAAGGTGCTCCCGGATTTTCTTGCCGTCCAAAAAGCTGCCGGTGTGCGTCCCTCAGGCAACTTCCGGCGGGATGAAGAGTGCTTCTAAACAAACAACCACCACATCGTCTTCAAGTTGGCAAAAAGTATCGAGAAACACAAGAGGAAACGCACTTCAACGTAAACCCATCTATCGTCGGGACCGCGTGGCCCAGCTGGTTTGTTGTTACCCAGAGCATACCGCAGTTCCGCTTGAGGGAGGTCGAACAACAGCAATCCGAACATTGCCGTTGTTTACAACCCCCGCTTCGACGCTGACCACTTGCCTCTGCCGCGCGCTCTCAATCTTTCGACTACGCCAAGAACCCCTCTTTAAAAAGCTCGCAGCCGCCCTGCCCTTTTTTTTGTTGAGCTCGTGGTTTCTACTCCCTTCCTTCTCCGTTGTTGACAAGCAGACCACAACCGTTACTCTCTCAACGCGTGGCCTGGATTTGCGATACCTTCCATCTTCAACTACAACTGCTCCTCAGCTGCAGTTGAACTTCGCATTTTCGCGTCGTCTGGAAGCATCAGCAACCGCGTAGGTTCTCTCTCGCGACCGTTACCATTCCTGCCGTCACTACATTGACGCTCGTCACGACCTACCTTATTCAGTCGCCGTCGACTGTCACAAGTTACCTTTTCAAGCCATCCTCGTCCAGCATCGTCCCGATTGGTGACCGCATCCGCGACATAAAGACAGTCTTCAGTTCATCCGGCTATCACTTCAAGATGTCTGTGTCTAGTGCTGTAAGTTAACCTCCGTCGATACCTCTTCAGTCCTTGGACTTGCACTAGCATTTCCTTCTACACCTTCATACTTGAGGAACGGACCTCGCAAACGGTCACTGACCTCGAATCAGCCTACCGGCTTCGTCAACGCCGACGTTGATCCGTTGGCCGACCAGGCCACATCTTCTGGCGACGCTGTAAGTGAACCATCCGGTGATTTCGCCAGCCCATTTTCCTAACACGAGCTGTTCAGCAGACCAGTGATGCGATCGCTGTCGCGGCTCCCGCATCTTCGTCCGCAGGCAGCAGGCCTGTTTTGCCCGTCCCGGCTGAGCTTCGGCTCCAGATTTACAAGATGGCCATCGAGCCTGCTAACTGCACAGTTCTTGAGCGCACCGGTCTGTTCGAGCGCAAGATCACGGACCAGGAGGAGATGCGCGTGTTGAAGGAACTAGTCCGGCTGGCCGGCGTCTCCCGGGCAATGAGAGATGGTAAGTCTGTATCTAAATCATTCTGCGGTGCCCTTATCTCACTCTCTTCAGAAATCCTCGAGGAATTCCGCAATCACTGTGCCGTGTATTTCTACTCGGAATACAAGGCCCTGCCCACCGGGGTTCGCGGTACACACTGGGGCCACGGCCCTATCGTTCGGCGCTACGGGATGCCGACGGCCCGCGAGTCATTCAACATCATTCGTGGCATCATGGCTTGTCCCATTCTGCCCTCTTGTATCCGCCATGTCTCGTGGACCTGGACCGGCAAAGACAACCAAGACGAAACTGCCGTCATGCAGTACATCGGGGCCCTTCCCCAGCTTCAATCCTTGGACCTGGTTATCGAAGACCCTGTGCTCTTCCGCCGCGATGTGAGCACGCTTGGCGGCGCCCGACTGCGCTCGCCCAACATGAGAGACATGGACATCGACCTCACCAACGTCATCAACTGCAACTAGATCTTGTCGTTGAGAGGACTGGAGAGGTTCGGGATTCGTCTCCATTTCAGTGACCAGCAGCAGATCAACAGATGGACCACGGCCCCGTGGTTCGCCAGCTTTGAGCAGCTTGTTCGGAACACCATTACGGCGCCAATGGTATGTATTTCGTATTCCGCCAAACGCCAGTTGTTTACTTGCCCCTTTATGGGCCCCACGATGCTTCGAAGTGTAGTCTATACTTTCCAATCCCGACAAGCATCCTCGCTTCCATCTCAGACCTAGTGGCGAGCCTGAAACCTAGTGGTAATCCTCTCTTCCGTTGCTCTTCCTTGATCCTTTGATCCTATACTAACACGGAACCAGGATGGACAAGCAGCCGAGCAGCATGGCCTCATGGCTGTCTGGCTCGAGGTCGGCAATGCTGACCTGACCAAGCTCCGGCGCCTGCGCATTTAATTGCGCGCGCCAGGGCGAGGTCAGGGACGCAACCTCGGGCCAGACGGCCGGGAGTCGACGAGTGTGCTGGGTGGTGTTTGTGGGGGCGGCGGCTTTGTTGCGGTGAGGTGTGCCCGCTTGTTTTTTTTTTTTTTGTTTGTATGTAGGATTTTTGTGTGGGCGATGTTTTTTTTTTTCGCCTTTCGCCAGCATAGTGGCCGGTCCCCTCTTCTGGGGCCGGCCGGATAGTAAATGACCGGTTCCGCCCTCGGACAAGATGTCGCTGAACGTGATTCATGATTTTTTCGTGGTGTATCTGCTGATGGCGCACCCAATAATTATGGCAGCCTCTTCCCCATTTCTTGCGCAATTGCATTTGACTCGTTTGCAACAAACCGTGACGTATCGCCCAGGAGCTCCAAGACACCGTCAAGATGGGTGGGTCAGCAACTTGTTGCTTTGTGCCGACAACATCCACGCACTTGATGTAGCTTCGCGAGGCCACCGATAATCACCATGCCATCAACAGCGATACATTTAGCGTGTTCTAGGAGTGTCGACATCACTTGGCTAGGTAAGACTTTCTCTTTAGATAGACGTTACCTTGGGGCTACGGCGGTTAAGCACAAAGCCGAAAGTTCGACGGAATTTTTGATGACCGACGCATGTCACCTACCCAACCTGGATGCGCAGAACTACAAGTTTTCAAGCTTGTCTCGCAGAGGAATAACCACGGGGACTTGGACAAAGAACCGAACTCCCACGGCTCAATTGTCAAACCCGTCCGTTACCCAAAAATTCAGGGTCTCCTTCGACATCAACGCTCTAGCGCAAACGGTAGCAAGCCACACCACAAACACCACAGCATACTTGCAAAAAAAGCCAAAAAAAAAAGCCCCCAAAAAGAATTTAAAAAAAAGCCCGAAGAAACAGCATCCTCATCATCGCAACAAACCCCAGACAACACTTTAGGTAAATGAAAGCAAAACTAAAACAAACCTCGACATGTGCAGGGTGTATGCAAGAGGCAAAAATGATCGAGTCAGGGGCCTATCAGAGTCGAACTAATGACCTACCGGACACTGTGAAGCTCGGGTTTCAATCGAGCTCACGCTGCAGCCGGTTGCTCTACCACTGAGCTAAGACCCCCGGTCTTGTGCGATATCGTCGTGGGCCGGTAAATGGGTTTATTTGGGTAGGGCAGGGTAGGATAAGGCATGGGGCTTGTCTTGCGGGTTGTTGGTGAGCCAGTTGTGGTGACTCGGGTCGGTTGACAGATCCACTTCTATTGCGCCAAATGTGGAATTTGTTGTGGAAGGGTGAGCTGAATGAGTCCCAGGGTTGGATGCGCTTTGGTATATGCACAAGCAGATCCGATTTATTCTAAAAGGCTGGCAATCACAAGATTGATGGAAATTTCCATGCGAAGATGCGTCTGTAAGCTGTGTTGCGTTGCATCCAAGTGACAACGACGCTTGTTTTGGTCGCCGTGATCCCTGTCAGGGGATTCAGGGGGGAGGGGTAGGGAGGGAGGGGGTACATCCAGATCGGATCGCAGCAAAATCCGACCCACAGGCTCCGAGGACAGAGACACCAAACCATATGCAGTTGAGCCTGGAGATCCTCAATACGCCTTGGGCATCGCCTTTACATATTCCGTGATCGCAGCTGTTCATCCAGACTCATGACTCAAGGGAGTGATGTACCCGCTGCCCCCACCTCCTCCCCCCTCCCACCACATCTCCATCATAGACGGCAATATCCTCCACACCTTTCATCAATCAATCCGCCCGGTTAGCTCAGCTGGTTAGAGCGTCGTACTAATATTCTCACTGGAATATGTGGTATGCGAAGGTCAACAGTTCAATCCTGTTACTGGGCATTTATTTTTGCATTATTTCCCTCTTCATCACCGATACAGTGATAACCCGTGGGGGTTTCACATGTCACTGGTGACTGGATATTTTTATCTTTTGCGTCATGTCACGATGTTGCACAGCTGGTCGTGTTTCCCGTCTGAAACCCTCACGCGGAGAAACGTGTGGTATCTGTGCGACTTGAACCACAAGCCTCAAATATCTCCGCATGTCGTAACATAAACCATATAGAAAGGGCAGGCTTTACCATTTCTCCGTCACAGTGGTACTAAAACGTCAAGCAAATATCGTGGCACAAAAAAGGACTTGTTTTGTTACCCATTGGTAAATATAAATAATATTCGTCCATGTTCATGTCATGATAGCTCGCGAGAGACTCCAATATACCCACACTCATGTCAGCCCATCCGAGAAACCCAGTCAACCAATACCATGTCATGATGCGAAACGCAATATCAAATCCGCAATGCCCTCAGCGCCTGTTAGCGCCATTCCCAGCCGAAAATGCAGAGAGAGAAAGAGAGAGCCGGTTTGCCAAACATGCCTTGATGACCCGGACCGAACAAGAAAGCCAACAGAAGAACAAAATGCAAGAACCATGCCATGTACCCTGGCCCTCATATGAACCGAGACGAAAAATGCAAGAGAAAGAGGCTCTCAGCTAGAAGAACCAGCGATTAAAACAAACGGGAAAAGCAAGCCAACCAACCCAACCCATGCCCAAACCCGCTGTGCCAACCGATCAACCAAAGGGGGTATCCAGATGCAAGTAGTCATCGCCATCATATCCAGCCAGCAGGCTCTCACGAGCAACATCGCCTCCTCTTGTTCGCATCACCCTCTCTGCCCTGCTCACCCTCGGGCTGATCAACAGGGACAGGTGTCGAAAAGCCAGGCGAAAACAGCCAACTGCGCCGGTCTCTCCCAACTCTGAAGCTCGCCCTGGGGTCGTCAAAATAGCCGCGTCCAGCACCACCGTCGCTCAATCCGCCGCCTGAAATGCCCTGCGCAAACCCATCCATACCGGGTGTCGACGTTGCGGCTAGCAGCGCTTGCTGCATCTTGCGGTTCTGCTCGACCAACTTCCTCGTGACGACGCGGAAGACCTCGTCGACACCCTCGCCGCTCTCAGCCGAGATCTCATGACACGCGTCCCAGCCGATCTCTTGACCCCAGAAGCCGGAGCTGCGCTTGCTGCTCGGAGAGCGGGGCTCGGCCAGTTGCTGCTGCTGGAAAAAGCCCGAGAGGGAAGAAGGGTGGGCCTGGGCGGTTGGGGGAGGGGTGGACGTCAGGCCGGGGGCGAGATTCTCGGCGACGTATGCGATGCAGCGCTCAAACGGGACTTCTCGTTTCGACGGATCGCGGGCGACAATATCGGCCTTTGTACCGACGACGTGGAGCACGACGTCGGCGGGAAGATTTCGGCGGAGCTCGGTCAGCCACATACCCATTTCGGCGAACGACTGGGCGTCGGTGATGGAGTAGCAGAGGATGCAGGCGTTTGCGCCGCGGTAGTAGAGGCGCGAGATGGAGCGGAAACGTTCCTGGCCGGCTGGGTGAGAGTCAAGTCAGTATATTGGTTGTGTATCAGTGGTGGGAAATTTGCGGGTGACATTAAAAATTTTTTTTGGGTAAGGATATGTTTGGTTGGTGGATAACAACGTACCTGTGTCCCAGATCTGCAGACGAACAATCGTGTCTGAATCCGAGTCGACGACGCGTTTGGTCATGAACGAGGCGCCGACGGTCGACGTGATTTGCGACGGGTTGAATGCGCCCTTGCAGTAGCGCATGACCAGCGACGTCTTGCCGACGCCCTGGCTGCCGAGGACGACGATTTTGGCCTCGAGCGACGACATTTTTTTCTTCTAAAATGTTGGGCGTTGTGGCAACGGCGACTGGTAACGGCGCACACACACAACGACCTTGCGTGGGGGTGGGTGTTTTAGAGGCTCGAAAGGGATGACACGATGGCCGCTGTGGAGGAGTGGAGAAATCGGCAAGTCGCAGCGGGCTGTTTCCGTTTCAGCTGATGACCTTCTGCAGTGAACTGGGGTTCCGGCAGGGTCTTTGCAGCGGGGTGTTGCTGTTTTTGTTTCTCCCGCCCAAGCACCCCGCATGGAGAGATTTCCAGTGCAACGAGAGGAAAAATACCACCCCGGCTGGCGGAAAATTACCGACTTGGCGTTTGCAACCCACTTCCTGCGCACTCGTGATCGCAACCATAAGATTTGACGTCATAGGCTGGAGCCGCAAAGGGGTGAAAAGATGGCGCAATGTAGAGGATTCGACGAGATAGCATGCGACAAGAAATTATTGTCTCGTCATGATGGAGGCAAATGGAGAGGAACGAGATGGGAGGGGGGCACAGCGGATGGATACAATGGTGCGAGAAAAAGAGAGGCAACAACATGCAGCATGCTCGCGGGCGGTTGGCCACCTCGAAACAAGAAAAACAATGATGATCGATTGATGGAACCGTCACCGCTATCTGATCAGCCCGTCTAGATCCAAGGATTGTCAGAGTTCTCCCCGTTGACAGTTTAGCCTTGGATTGACGTACTAGCTGCCAACGCTGCGGTGGCTAGGCGTTCAGATGACCGTTTAGGCCGTTCCACTGGTCCCACGAGGCCAACCGCAACGGCTGACCTGCCCCATTCTGCCGCAAATTTGCATGTATTACGACGCCCGAGGCATCTTCGCCAAAAAAAAAAAAAAGTGAGTACATAGATGGTCTATAGCTTCGCCTTTGGCTTGTCGGCCAACCCCATTCCCGTTCGCTGCGGCGGACTCACCAAGGGGTCGTACACCGAGTAGGCCAGGTTGTCGGCCGGCGTCGCCCCGTGATTGAACAGACTCCTGACATCGACCATGCTCGGATTCAGGTCCTCAATCTTGGTTGCTCCGATGAGCCGCATGTTCATCTCCATCTCGTCCTTGAGCAGCTGCATCGCCCGATCAACACCGTCCAGGCCATATGCCGACATGGCATACAGGAACGGTCTCCCGATTCCCACGCCCTTTGCGCCCAAGCAGAGCGCCTTGATAATATCGGTCGCCCTTCTGATCCCGCCGTCGATATAAATCTCGATCTTGTTCTCCAATCCCAACTCCCTCAACACCGGCATCGTCTCGGCCAAAATTTCAACGCCGCTCCTGGCAAAGTCCAGCTGCCTGCCTCCATGGTTCGACAAGATAACACCCTGCACACCAACTTCGATTGCTTTGAGCACATCCTCAACCCTCTGCACGCCCTTGAGCACAATCGGCATCTTGGTAATGGTCCTAAACCACGGGATATCCTCCCACTTGAGCCCAGGATCGATAAAGCTGCTAATAGCCCTTGCTGCGCCCTGCGAGTTATCCGTCTGTTGCCCACTCTGCACGTTGCTCCCGGGATCCTCGAATTTGCTGCGCATATCCTTCTCCCTTCTCCCCAATTGCGGCGCATCCACCGTGATGAACAAGCCCTTGCACCCCCTCTTCTCTGCATGCTCCACAATCCGCTGCGTAATAGCTCTGTCCTTGTTCACGTAAAGCTGCAACCACTGCACCTGGCCCGGGGCCGCGGCGTCAACAATCTCGTCAAACGAGCACGACGCAAGCGTGGGTATCATCTGGACAACGCTGTGCTTGTTCGCCGCGCGCGTGAGCACAACCTCTCCCTCGACATGCCCGAGCTTGCCCAGAGCCGTAGCAGTGACATAAAAGGGGATGGAAACCGGCGCCCCGAGCATGGTGGTGGAGAAGTCCACCTTCTCGACATCAATCAGGATACGCGGGCGGAACCAGATGCGGTGAAAGGCTGAGTGGTTTTCGCGCATCGTGATCTCGTCGTCGGCCGCCGACGAATAATACCCCCATGCCGTCTTCTTCATGACGCGGCGGGCGACGGCCTCAAAGTCCATGAGGTTATAGCACTGCGAGAGGAGTGGCATCTCCTGGATGCGGCGCAGGCGGTCTGCTTCATCGGGGGATTCCAGGGCCTTGTCCTGCACAACGGTCGACATGTCGACCGGGCCAAGATGTTTCGACTTGTCCAGATACTTGTCCAGCGTGTCGGGCGGGTGGATGGGATCAAACTCCTCGGTTGCGTCTTTCCCCTGTTATTATATGACCAATGTCAGCTTCTGTTCCCGCAAGTGCGCGCGCAAAGAATCAGGACGGACGGCATATTTGAGGATGATTTTCTTGCCGCCGGGATGTTCTGGAAGAAAGTCGGTGACATCGTATGCTCTACCCTGCAAATCCGGTGTTGTCAGTTTTTCCTGC